ATTGTCGTTAAAGACAAATGCTAATGACTGTGAAGAAAGTTGAAGCATATTTGACAAAAGAGCTGTTAGAAACAGCTTTTTCTTCAAATGAAAAAAGCACAAATGTTTCAGTCTTCCTTATACGAAATGATTTAATTACGAAGACATCTATGATGAATGTACGTCACTTCCTTGGAAAACCGAAAATTTATGATTCAACGAAAGATATATCTGCATATGAACAAGAATCGCTCGCTTATGTGGCAGGTTATATTGCATATCGTGTGAAAGATAAAAGATCCTACTTTGGATGAAATATCAAAAAAATTCGTAGATATTCCTAACGACTCAAATTGGATATTTTTATTATCTAAAGGAGGATTAACTGTACCATCACCAGTTTGGATGGAAACGATGATGAAAATGGAAAATGTTTTCCGTTCTTTTCATGGCAGTTCTTTTCGAAAAGGTAGAGGTGTAATTCAGAATCTCATTTCTGAACTTGAGAAACGTTTTCCCTCCGTGAATAAGAGTGCAATTCGTTTATTTTGCCGTTTACGAACATTTATAAGGGTTCGGCACTTGAATAGGAATGCAACCCTTGTATCGGCAAGAAAAGCTGACCAGAAAGCAAATAAATGGATGAAAAGTAATAGAGGATTATCGAACCAAACTATATAGGAAAAAAAATCATGTAAGTTGATTCATATTATTCCTACCAAAAATAATAATTTGAATCATTACTTTGGTTTATTATTCACTTAATTTGTGACCTAATTTATGCACGTTTCAGTAATTATTTGGACTACTATATAAAATATTATATTTATTATATACTAATAATATATTAATTATTATTAATATTAAAATAGTATATACACTAGCAATAAGTATTTGGACACCTGTGATAGAAAAGAAAAACTAACTTTATTCAAAATCAATAGTTGGTAGAGCCTCCACGAGAGGTAATTACAGCGTGGACCCTCCGGCGCATACTTTCCACAAGTCTTTGTATGACAGCTAGTGGTATTTTCTTCCACTCGGCTTGGAGAAGACATAGAAGTTCCTTCACCGATTTTGCACGGGTAGTGCACCCCTGAATTCGGCGATGCAACTCGTCCCAGAGGTTCTCGATAGGGTTCAGGTCTGGACTCTGGGCAGGCCAGTCCATTCGATGAACTCCATTGGCACCATACCAAGCCTTGGTTAACGTCGAAACATGACAACTGGCATTGTCGTCCTGAAAGTAACAGGGGTCCAACCCATAAAACTGCCACAACGTAGGAAGCACATTGTCATCCAAAATAGTGCAGTAGGCATCGGAGTTGAGCTTACCATAAATGGGGACCAAGGGACCCAGCCCATACCAGGAGAAACATCCCTAGACCATATTCCACCTCCGCCGAACTTGACTGTTGGCACAATGCATTCTGGCAGGAGACGTTCTCCAGGTAGATGCCAGACCCAGACCCTGCCATCCGAACGGTAAAGGGTGAACTTTGATTCGTCACTCCAAAGAACCCGTTTCCACTGATCTACGGTCCAATTTCGATGTGCTTTGCACCACATTAACCGAGCAGCGCGGTTGGACTTTGTGATCAAAGGCTTATGGGCAGCAGCACGACCATGAAAACCAAGCAGATGTGCTTCCTTACGGATGGTATTCATTGAAACAATACTCCCGGATGCCTGTTGAAACTCCTCGCGGATGAGGGCCATCGATTGGGTGCGGTTCTTCCGAATTTCTCTGGACAGCACTCGTCGGTCTCTATCTCCCAGTTTCGTGGGTCTGCCGACTCGGGGCACATTCCGACAATCACCGCTCACCTTCCACTTCTTAATCACATAGTCCACTGTCGATTTTGGGTACTTCAGATCGCTAGATATGTCCCTTAAGGATCGGCCACATTTGTGATACCCGATAATTATACCTTTCTCGAAATCAGAGAGCTCCGAATTGCGAGGCATCTTGCATGCGACTAAAGCCGATGCTGTTTCCTACACGATATATACCGGTGGAGTCCGTGACGTACCTTAGGACCGCAGATATCGTCATTTGCATAGGTGTCCAAATACTTATTGGTAGTCAGTGTATACTAATAATATAAATATTATTATATACAAATTTAGACTGCTAAATTTTACTTTATAAAATAAACCATGAAATTCTGCATAAACATAAATTAGCATCAGAGCATATACTTTTAAAATGTAAGAATACATTCCAAAATATATAAATACTGTTTTAAAATATTTTCATTATTTTTTGAGTAATTGACGTTAAATAATAATGCTGATGTTCCATAATAATGCTTTCATAATAGTCATTGCAAAAGCTTACAAAATTCTACAACTCATTATCAACGCTAATTGGAAAGCAAAAATTTGTGAAATTTGTTTCGTTTTAATGTGTTATGAAATCTATTATTAGGATTAACTAATTTTTAATCAGATAGATGTGTAAGGTCTTTAGCATGTATTCTCAAAATGTATTTGCATATTTTTATTTAATATTTCTATAATGCAAATTACTTTGCGACTAACTGATATTTCAACGCAAAAAAAAAAAAAAAAAAAAAAAAAAAAAAAAAAATTTCTTCGCAAATGTAGAAATTTACCTCTGTTTTCGATGGGTTACTATTTACATATATTTAAAAAGATGATTATGAAAAAGGACCACTCGATCTAAAAAATTAGTTACATTTAGGGTAGTAACTACATTTAGGATACACTCGACCTAAAAAATTAGTTATGTTTACGCATATGTGTTAATTAAAAAATTAGTTATGTTTACGCATGTTTTACTTATGTTTTACGCATATTAGAGTTTAATTTATTTAGTATGGCGTAACTACATTTTAGTTCATATAGCTGCATGTAGATTGCAATTTCATGAGCTAAAATCTCGGCTCATATGGTTATTAAACTATTCTTCAAAGCGTTTTGATTCTCAAGCAAATGCTTAAGAAACTGAGCAAGTGAACCCAACTACGTCATCAGTCTCTTCTTTCGGTTTCAGCCGCGAGAAGCTGATGAACTAGCCCTTTAGCCCTGCTAAAGTACGGCCGAGCGTAATAATAGCTTAAGACAGAGTAGCCTAAAAAGGCGGACGCGTGCTAGCCAGAATCACTGGTTCTCTCTAATGAAGTCAGTAGAACTTCACGGTTAAATACTTTTCCTCATTTGCATTAAAACGCGGTTCTAAAACTACGTTCTGGCCGGAAGTCGTTAAGTTGAAATTCAGGAACACTGGAAAGGAACTTTAACTCAATATTGTTAAAGAAATTAACATAATCCTTACAGATTATTATTTATGCATAAACATTGCTAATGTGAGAATAACTGAGCTAAAGTCGGATTGTTACCTATATAGTGCTCAAAGCCCTTGCTAACGACAGGCGCATTTCACTTCTTCCCACGATTAATATTGTGGGCATGTGCTAACCATTGTCAAACAAGTGAGACTGATAACAACGACAATATGAGATAATATTATAATGCTATTCTTTCGAAGAATGTGTCAGTATTTTTTTGAAATTATTTCTTGCAATTCAATGTAGGAAAATGTTTAAGAAAGAAAAACAGCTTATTGTTTCCAAGAAGCTAGAATTTAGGCTTTATGATTTTAGACCAACATAATTAACAAATACGCAAAAATATATTTTTTTCAAATATGTTGATTAGTTAGTTTTTAATTTTTCTTTCATTATTCAGTAATTAGTTTTTTAAAAGTGACAGTTATAATCTTTTTATGGGACGATCTTTTGTGCAACCGATATTTTAATTAGTAAATACAGTACTAATTTCTTTTTTGCTCGCCTATACATTGTACTGCCAATAGAAAAGACTTTCTCAGGCTTTATCACTTTTGATACAGTTAAAACGTTTTAAACCCAAAGACGCAAGGTCTTTGTGGTAACTTATAAATCCATTTGTTATAAGTTATGCCAAATTTTTTTACAGTTAGCTAGATGGATGTCATGTGATTATTATATCTTACCTATAAAACTTAAATTTAAGATATGATTTAAATTTCTACGTTGCTTTAGTTTTTGCAATACACTTGCTTATCATCCTTTGACCCGCAATGTGTTTGGTATAGCGGAAAGCTGACTGCCCAGTTGATGCTCTCGGACTGGTATCTCGAATAAAGCCTAGGTATTTCTGACAGTGTATTTTCGATATTTCGAGATTTAAAATTCTGCTTAAAGAGTTGATGGATAGGGAACTTAGAGTGACACTGGGATGGTATTGTTTAAAACTGGTGTGAAACTAGTATCTTCGATGTTTTGCCATAATTTAAATAATGTAGTTCTAACCCGCCAACATTTGACTATAACAAAGTTAGATGTTTGGTATGTTCTAAACTTTATTTTCTGATTCTTAAACTGCAGATTTGATTCTTTAAAATAACATTAATAAAAATTTCACTTACTCTCAAAATTAATGCTAAACTGGCTTACATGATTTTAGATCAACATATTATCAAATACGATGTTAGCATATATTTTTTCAAATATGTTGAATAGTTAGTTTTTAATTTTTCTTTCATTATTCAATGTTTAGGTTTTTAAAAGTGACAGTTACAATCTTTTTAATGAAACCGAAAGATCAAACCTAGAATTTTAGTATAGTTTTCTATTCGATAATCAGAATAATAAATATAATCCAATGTAATCCTTTTATTACAAATTTCTGAGCTCTAAGTGTTCGAATACGGCCATATGTTAAAATAATTAAGCTAATACACGTTCAATAAATAATATGTAGCCTACTCTTGCCTAAACACTCAGATAAAGCGCTGAGGAACTACGGCAAACATAAAAAGGCCAAGACAAATGAGAAAATTTAAATTTAGAAACGCAATAGCTTATTCAACAGAAAGCAGGATTAGGGTCTGCAACAAGCGTAGATGTTGAAGCATATTATCAGCGAATATTATCTCATGTTTATCCAAGAATTTGGAATAAACGAGACAATATCCTGTCGCCGCTGGAATATTTGTTTCTCAACGGTATTTATTTGTTCTTTTATGATATTCATAATTATTTGGAAAAGCTCGTGTTTTGGCCTGTTTATCGAATCAATCTGCAATAAATAATGAAAAGCAAAGCAGTGATTATCATAATATTTTTTATTATATCTGCTAGTAAGTATGTCCTTAATGCAGTAAATTTCAGTTTTCACAAAAGCCTTAACAGGTAACTTGAATAATTTTGTATGTGGATAAACTTTAAAGCTTTCCTACTAAATAGCATAGCATTTCAAACAAAACATTCATTTCAAGTTTATTCGTACTATCTCTAACAGTGCCATGACAGTGTATGATGTTGCTTAAATAACTCTCATTTCTTTCATTTTTTAAACATAGAATCTGGAACTAAAACTCTAGACAGTATCGTTTTATCTTATTCCTTGTTATCCTGAATTCCCTGATATTCAAAGAAGAAAATTAATTTTAGAATTTCTATGTAATGACAAAGCTGAAAATGTTTTGGCGTCACGCTTTAAGTTTGAAGTTTTATAATATGTCTTAAGTAAACTCCTTGAGTTAAAATTAATTTAGTACTACTTTTGAACTAATTTATTTTTAGGTATGTAAAAGTGATGAAAAAATTATGAACTGCTTAAAATGTTTCTTGTATTCATCAATCCTTTATTATCTCTGTCTCCCTCTCTCTCTCTTATATATATATATACAGACAGTACTCACCACTTATTAAAACGACTTCCGTTCAGGTGTATTTGAGTTAATTAAGCGCTTGAGATTAAAAGACAGCGATTTGTCTGTTGCAAACTGTGATATGAGTCTTAAACTTTTCAAATAAAATAATAAACAACTAATTCATTAATTAATCCTAAAATAATAACTAAAAATAATACTAAAATTAAACTATTTATGCAGTTTTGAATTTCATTGAAAACATTTTATTAAAATATTTTTATAATTACGTCCTTGATAAAATTTTATTTCTTCGAAACAACTACTCTATCAGTGAGTTTCATAAAACTTCTGATAACATTTTTGATCAGCACGTTTGGGCTGAAGAATTTTTCTTAGAATTCTCGAGTCTTCATAACTTCCCTCTCTGATGTCTGAAACATTAGGTATAATTTCCAGTTCCTCTGAGGCTTCTTCTACATAAAACCTCATTTTCGAAAACAGTTTTTAATTAATTTTAAGGGACTAACCCCCTGCATTGACTATAAAATGTATGGCCTCTAGCAGAGATATCGACTTACTTATCTCCTTTGAAATGTTTGCATTTTCACAAAATTGAATTCTCTTCATCATTTCGTGAATATCTTTTCTATAATGACATTCTGAATCTTTTATAATACCTTAAATCTAAAAGCTGAATGTTAGAAGCTGTATCTGCAGGAAGAGGCACTATTGTCTTCTAGAATGAGACTAGAGGTGAGAGCACTGCATGCATAGTTATCTAATTAGTGAAGCTATATTTTGATTTTTCAATTACATGCCCCATTTCAAAAGAAAAAACAGTAAAATTATTATGTGTCATTTATGAGTTTTTATTGCTATTGTAAGCTAGAAGTAAATTCTTGGCTGCTTTCTGCCAGAACTCTTGCCAGATTTTCTGCTTTTGTGAATGTCTAGTGTTGTCTTCTTAATGGTTGGGTTTATATTTCATGCTAATAGCACAGTAACGTATGTCTTCAGTTTCTTAATCATACTGCTGTTCCACTTTTAAATATTAATGTGTGTTCTGGTAATGTTCTGTAACGCAGTCCAATTTCATCTCAGTTGTCAATTTCACGTGACTTCTATTCACTTCACAGCCCAAGTGAAACTTCTTTTATCCAGTTATCAGCTGCATGATGATTCGCTTCTATCTTCTCACCTTGCAATTTCTGATGAATAATATTAGATTTCTGCTCCTCCAACTTTTGAGAGGTATTTCAGTTTCTATAAAATTCTTCCGTAATATTTAGCGAATTAGTGAAGAAAGTTCGAGAAATAAAAATATTTTTAGCTTCAAATCGTTCTAGAAAAGCAAATTCCATGTCTCGAGATTTTATGCCTTTTCTGCTTTTCCTTGAGACATTTGCATTTTTTATTAGTTCTTCATTAATTACAAATTGTTGTTTGAGTATATTGCACAAAGCTGTCTGGGGAATTTCTGATTTAATTTTTTCTACAGCTGCAATTACCAAGAACAACAAAATCGTTTAACCATTTATCCTTTTCTTTCAAGAATAAGTCTTTTCGTTTGGCATTTCGACACGTTACAAATTAAGCACACAACAAATTTTAAAAATGCTTCTTCAAGTGATTTATTCAAATTTACAAATTTGCATTTCTTGCCAACAGAGAAGTCGCTTTATGATTAAGTGCATGATTATTGTTTCCTTGCTTTTTTCTCAAGCCCGCAGTTGAGACTTTATTTTCTAATCAAAAAGCCTTTATGTAAGGTAATGCTTAAAAGCATTTCATAAACAATTTTCATAACTCTGTGTGAATATAACGTGTCTATCCCAAAGGGAAGTTTTTTTAATGTGGAAACCTTAAAAGATAGGATACAGAAGTTGCACCTTTTTTTATCAGTTGGTATTCCAGAAGGAACCCTCACTCATTTACAATTCTTCTACAGCAGAGTTTCTTAAACTTTTTTCCCTCGCGCACTTTATAAGGTATTTCTCCTGCCTTCTTAGCATGCCTTCGTGGTGTAATGGTCAGCACTCTCGGCGCGTATTCGAAAGATCCGAGGTTCGAGTCCCGGCGCCGGCATTGCTCATTTTTCATGTCTCCTGCTTCGAAAAATCCTAATGTCTCTACAGTGGCTTCCGAATTAAAAATGGTGGTGGATAAAGATTCCCCACCACCAGGATTTGGCAATTGGGTCCCCTAATCCCCATTCGCTCTTCAAAAGGGGGAATATGTCAGGTATTTCTCCCGCCTTCTTAGCATGCCTTTGTGGTTGTAATGGTCAGCACACTCGGCGCGTATTCGAGAGATCCGAGGTTCAAGTCCCGGCGCGGGCATTGCTCATTTTTCATGTCTCCTGCTTCAAAATAACCTAATGTATCTACAACCTCTTCACCTATCATCTCTGCTTCACATACCCCAACTCCCCCTATTATGTATAACTCCTAACTTCTGCATATGGAGGAACAGTAGTAACATTATAATGCAGAAATATTTTTATCCGTTATACAAAAACGGTGTACTCTGGTAATTACACACATTTAATTAAATTAAAAAAATAGGAGCACGCTTAGTGGGAACCTTGAGGATTTTTAAAAGCACTCGGTAATTTTAACTCCTGAATTGATTAGGCTGGAAAATCTGTTCCTGTACATATTTTCTATGTAAGTGGGGAACGAGAAAGCCTTCTTCACTAATAAATGCTTGTGAACGGTGGAAGAATAATAATTGCCTTGTTAAATAGCTCATAATATTCTTTAAAGTAAATCCAGAATGAGATGAAGGGTTTATTTTCAAATTGTAACTTAAGTGACAAAAGCTTTTTATCTTTCCTTTGTGGCTCAATTTATCTATCAACGTTCACCAGTAGATGTTTTTTCCGCATATCCCCTCTGACCATGTCAGGTACCCTTTGGGGTAAGCGTACCCACAGGTTGAGAAAAGCTGCTCTAGAGGACTGTTTCTGTTATTATTAAGATAAGGAGATCCTTGCGAATTCTTGCACAGGCTTGAAGATGAACACAACCATGGGAAGCGTGTAAAAGACCCATTTATTCAACACAATATAATTTACGGACGACATGGATTTACGTGCTCACAAATACCGACCACTTGCGGTGAGAACTGAAAAGATGTGTAATACTAAATTTAAAGGTAAGGGGTAGTACAAGACTACACAAATGAATTGAATTTAACAAGTTGACTCAGAACCTCCCCCAGCAGAGTATTAATTCGATGGCAAGAATGCGTAGCCTATATTCAAGGTTAACAGTTTAAAGAAATAGCAACATGCTTTCACGAAATCACGCTCTGACTAGACTTTTCGCTACATCCATTTAAATATAATCATTCACCCTAGTTAATTTACATCGTGGCGTGGAAAAGTAAAAATAAGAGAAGCGAGAAATGCTTACAAATTAAAGTACTTCTTAGTAAAAATAAATGAAACCGTATAAAATAGAAATAACAGGAATAAACAGTTTTCTAATTTCCTTTACACATGCACGCTCAGCTAAAAGTATAAATTAAAAAAAATATTTTGTGAGCTTTCAGTTCATATATTAGAGAAATCAGCACACAAAAGCAAAAAATTCACGGATTTCTACAGAAATTTTATTATAAAAATTTTTATTGCAATTCAGTTTGTCAAACGGCACTTCGCTTAATGTGACAATAATCTTTGAATACTGCTTGAAGGCACGCTGAGACAAATGGGCAGCAGAAGCAGCATTGTTTTTAGAATCATTATTGCATGTTGTTGCATAACATCTTTTCACTTTTCTACTGAAGTGGATTGATTCATGATTTCAGTTAGCTCCATGATAAAAACATACAGGATTTCAAATTATGGTGACTCGAATGACCATTCTTAATGAAAAAGATGAATTAATATTCCCTTTTCATCAAATACCGGCAGTGTCAGGAAAGCAGGTCGAGTGCTGTTGATGTGGTATGGAATGTCCCAAAATCCAGTGCTGGCCTTTCTTTCATGTTAAGAATAACGTTTAATGCGTCATTTTTGACAACTCAAAAATAGAGTCGCATTGCATATTCAAAACCAAAAATGACTGGTGGGCATAACTGCAATTAGAAAATTGAATAATAAAATTTCTGTATAAAATCCAGTATTTAATGCATTCTCTTATTTTATATTAATTACACTAGTACATATGAAACAGTTATTGAAATTCGAATTTCAAATATTTATTGACTTTCGGATCACCCTGCAAAATGCTTATAGCATTTACCGAACATATTGCCAAAGCTTAAAACTTTTAAATTCTTATGTTAACATAAATTCATTATTTTAAGTAACGCTTTTATATTAAAAATTTGAATTCACATGTAGAGCTAAATTCGCTATTTTATTTTAAGTAACATTTCTATATTATTTTATTGTAAACCAATAAACATTTTAAAACGTTATTGATATGTTTGTTTTATTTTGCAAAACAGAACAGGTGATTGGAGAACATGCATTTGAGAAGTCATGTTATGGGAAACATTACCTTACTGTTCAAGAAGGGCAGTCCGTTAACATATCCAGCCCAGAATTTGAAGACAATTATTATCCAAAAAATTGTTTATGCTCTTGGACTATAAGGGCCAACAATGATACTAAAAGAGTAAGTATTCTTGTTGCATGTCCGAATTTTATAAGTGATGTGATAAAAAAGGACAGAATCTTCTAACTTAGGAGACCACACGATGGGAACTGCGATATCCAAGATACATTTCTGCATTCTAAATGAAATTTAAAGAAAATTTCCATGTGGTAATTTGGAATTCAAAGATAAATTCTAATAAACCAAATGTAGAATATATTCTGAAGTTACATAAAATTTTTCCTTTATTTAAACCTGAGAAATCCTTTTTTTCGAAAAGAGTTAATTAAAAAGAGAGAAAAGGAAAAGTACGTTTAACTGAGAACTGACTTTCCTTGAAAAACAAGCTTTCAGACCTAGAATCTTGCTCTGAAATTCCAAATTTTGTAACAATACTTATGTATTCCTTCCAAGGCCTTAATTTCCTATTCTTTTTTAGCTCATTCAAATATAATTTAAATTTTCTGTCTGAGAAGGATGTTTTTATTTCCATCATTTCATCTTAAATTAGAACTTGTTTTCAGTTACAAACGTAAAGGCCATGATGAAATGAACACAAATCGGGGCCAATAAATCAAGCGAATCATTCCAGAGGAGGAAGGCTATGACAACACTCCCAAATTCACCAGAACTGAGAAAGCATGCACATCATTTTTTAAATCCCGCTTTCTGAATCCTCGTAACATTAGCATCGCAGGTGAAGTTCTATCACGCCTTAAGATTTGTTAGTACGGTTATAAGGTTATTTTCTCCTTTCTTTCTGTATGCCTTCGTGGTGTAACGGTAGCCCACTCGGCGCGTATTCGAGAGGTCCAGATTCGAGTCCTGGTGAGGGCATTGTTCATTTTTCGTGTTTCTTGTTTCAAAAATACCTAATGATGCTAAAGTGGAGCCCGAACTAAAAGGTGATTCTTCCCCACCAGGATTTGGCTGCTGGGTCCTCTAATCCCCAGTCGCATATACAGTATTTTCTCTCTCCTTTCTGTATATATTCTTGGTGTAACGGTAGCACAATCTGCGCATATTCGAGAGGTCCAAGATGGAGTCCCGGTGCGGGCATTTCTCATTTTTCATGTTTCCTACTTCAAAAATCCTAATGACTCTATACGGTCACTTAATGCTTCTTAGAAATTGTGAGGCTAATTTGTAGAAACTATAATTTACACTAAGCAGCAGGATCTTAAAGGAATTTAATTTTTTATTACTTATTTCAATAAATTAAGCATCCGATCTTATAAAAAACAAACGAGTCATTAGTATTAAATTTCCTCCACAATACGGAATTAATTTTATCCAATTTTTCATTTCTGCAATCGGTTCTTATTATCTAAAACAGTAAATTTAACATTTTTGTTTCTAGGACATTTTAAGAAATAAAGGATTGTCATAAAGCCCACGGTAGTTAAACAAGGTGAACATTATTCTTACCTTATCACTAGGCTTGAAACTCTTTTGACGAAGGGGATCTTGTACGTCTCCACTGCATTTTTTGTCTTTGAACATAAAAAATGTCATAGTTGCAAATAGATTTATCCTTTGTAACAATGCGCATAAGAAACAAGTCTTCTTCAGTCTTCTGATACAGATCTTGCTGCATATTGACATAGTAAAGACAGAGCGCTTTATGACTGTAATAGTAACATTTATACCAAAGCACAATTTCTCTTGATCCCGAGCCATTTTCACTTGACTGCTCCTTAAACATTAGCTAAAATATTTTTTCAACGCCTATCAGATATTTTTACAAACTATTTTAAAATAGTATACACATACATATAGAGAGAGAGGTAAAAAATAGAGAGAAAGAGATACATATAAAGCTCGGCATCCAGGGAGTTTCTAGACAGACGATACATATCTAGGTGACTAAATTATTTAATTTAGCTATTGGTGGAGTTATATTAGTGACTATTTACAAACGAAGAAAGAGTGATGATTGAGAGGTTACATCTTCGTTGCCTCATCCGTACGCCTCAGTCGTAGCGGATTTCACATCATCCTTCTGCCTGCCTGCGAGACAGTCAGTCGTATTGAGTTGTCGCACTTCTGAAACACTCGGGCATCCTGATGAAACAGGTCCTCCTGGCGATGATGAAGATATAGCAAAATATGAAATAAGTAAATTGAAATAAGAATGAAGAAAAACGTTTCTTTGTGCGTCGCTGGATTGTCTTGAGAAGAAAAAAAAAAGAAAACGTCTTTTCTTCTGATCCTTTTGAATGTTCAAACGTCTTAAAGAGCATGTCTGGAAAATCTTGGCGAGGAAGAGAAAAAACATCTTAATAAATCTTGTATACATAAAATTATGTGTAAGGGAGTAAAAAAATCTTTTGAACTAATTAAAAGAAATTAATGAACAGAAATTAATGAACAGAACATTAAGATGTAAGTTATAAAAAAAATGAAAAATCATACAAAAGAAAAAGAAATCTAGAGTTGAAGAATAGTCGTAGCAAATACTAGATACCCATTTGCATGGTACATCAGTTCTAAATACAGAATTTACCGCGAAAAAGGCCATGGTTTCATCATATCAGCAGCCGTGGAAGTATTACTTCGTATACTCAAACCTTCTCGACTTCATTACGGTCATGTGATTTAACACCTGTGACTTTGTTAGGGTCCTAAAAATTTGGGACGGAGTTTTATTCCAGTTCCGAATTCAGTGCATTGAAGTGATACTTGATCACCAATTTTGTATAAGGTTGGTCGTTTACAGTGCTTATGATAGTGACGTCTGTTTTCTTCTTGCATTCTGAGAATGCTGTTTTCCGCTTCGTCACGTAATGTTGCTTCTTTTTGTAAGATGGAATGGAAGTGTTCCTCTTCAAGTATTTGCTTAATTTTGATATCTTCTTTATTGCTCATTTTGATGCCAAATGTATCTCAAAGGGTATGAAGTTGGTGGTTTGAGATATAATGCTATTGATGATTCTTTGCACAGAAGCAACATTTTTAAACCATTTTTCAGGATCTTGTAAGCTAACTTGGTTAAGACAGGAATCAAAATAGCGTGCGTGCGTTCAATTTGTTTCTGAGATTTCCTAGCTTTTTCTATGTTCATTTTTCATTTCTTGTCTCCGTTTTTTTATCTGCTAGGAGATATCTTTTTGATGCACTGCTATTTACCTTTGCTTGCAATTTCTGTCTTTCAGCTTCTGCAGCCTCTCTTGCTTTTTCAGAGCTGGCCTAATTGTATCTGAAGTTTAATTAGTTCGTCTTCCAATATTTTTTCTTTGTTCTAACTTTCTTTGGATTGTAAAGCGAATTTTTCCTTTGCTAATCGGGATTGCTCAACATCTCGTCGATAATCTGTCATTTGAACCTGTAACATTTTTGATTGCCTTAGATAATGTTTTTCGGATTTATTGGCAATTTCTAACTGTTGTTCGTTATCTTTGTAATGACTCTCCAACTTTTCCCTTGCAGTAATTGCTGCATGCATTGCTTGCTTTCATATTGAAGTTCTATTTTCAGATTACAAGTCTGCTTAGTGAGAGATTTTTCTCTTTGCTCCATTTTATTCATCTACAGCTTGTAATTATAGTTCATGCTGTGCTTAACTTGCGTGCATATTGACCTCTTTTATCTCAGCTTGGAATCTTCTGTCAGTTGTAATTCGTCTTCTAGTTTTTCTGTACATTCTTCGCTTTCTTTAAGATCTCTACTGAGAGATAAGATTTTAGTTTCGTTTTCTCTAGCTTCACATTCTGCATTGTCCCTTTCGTATCTAATTTTTTTCATATAAAGCTTTTTCTTCTACAAGGAAAAGATCAAATTTGCGTTGTCGCTTCTCAAAATCAGATATTTTAGCTTTTTGGTGTCAAACTCTATGGTTAAATTTTCAGCCTTCGACTGCAATTTCCATTTTGATTTATTCAATTTATCATGGATAACCTCAAGTTCATCTAATCTATGCTGCAAGACATCAAAACCTTCAGAAAAATTCTGTTTCTCAAATGAAACATTTACATCAATCAGCCTTCAGCCTTTTTCTTGTATTCAGCAGTTGGAACATTGCGAAGAGACACTTGTTTTCCTACCGCCTGCTTTTCTTCGCCTTCGTCATCAAGGTGCTTTTGCAATGATTCTTCTAACACCATTCTGCTATTTTCTAACATATGTGGTGCAGTAGTTTCCATATGTGATTTAACTACGTATTAATTGTTCAGAAGTTTGCATTTCTATTAATCTAATAGAAAATTCATCTTGTTGGTTACAACCACTTCTAATAGGTACAACAACAGATAGTAAGTTGTTATTAATAACATTAATGTCATTTTTAAAATTTGTATTTCGAATTGTGAAGCAATCTGTAAAATATCATACTGGGCGCACAATGTGATCACATAATCTTGATAGAAGACTTTGAAGCTCTGGAGAACCAATCTTTATGCGTACATATATTAATTATAGTAGCTTGATTACCAGTGTCAACTAATAATGGAATGATAGCAACAGAAATATTCATTTGGATCGTCATAGAATGAAGTGGGTACAACTGTACCACAAGTTGATTGATTGAGAACTGTCTTTGATTTTTGTGTGATTGAGGTGATGCACTACTTGGGTTTTTAGTACAAGCTGATGATTTATGGCCAAATGAATTACAGAAAAATATTTAGGTTGTTTATGAGACCAATTAGAATTTTTATGGCCTTTAGATCCACGGTTGTAGCAAACTATAGGTTGGGTAGGCTTTTGAGAAATTTTACTAAGTAATGAGAATTATTATGTTTAAATTTCTTATCACTAGAAAATGTAATATGTTTGGAAGCAGATACAAGTTTTTCATAGATCTTTAACTTATCCTGAATTCACATACAGTTTTACAACAATGCAATAAAATTTTGTTAGGATTGTCTGGAGTATCATTCATCAGATAGTCAAAGATAGAAGACACATCGATTTTACTTCGGGAACAAATTTCTTTCATAGCAATAAAATATTCAAATAAGGATCCGTTTGGCTTTGAACGTCTTTTAAACACCAGTTTATTCAAATCTGTACCATTAAGTTTA